AACTGCGCGGACGGCAACGCCTGGGTTTCACGTGACAAATAAAACACCATTTTACTCACCCGATTGCCTTTTATGCTGTTTACTTACTATTCGGAGTACCTAGATTAACTGGATCGTTATTATACCTAACGTCATAAGGATTTCAGCAGGAGATGAAGTGGTTCATTATTGTATACAATGTAATGAAGGGTTCTGCCGAAATATAATACCATTAATCGTATAGGAATGTATCAGAATGTGAAAAAGGTTACCAGATAAGATGAAACGTATATTATACTTGGGTAAAAAAGTGTGTGCTCAATAGTAATTAAACTCTCGCGCCACCAAGCTCGTGAATTTTTTGACTTTTAGGGTCTTATTCAGCTTCCTTTAAGGTAATAACTATTGCCACGAAAGATCTCTGGCTTATTGTGATGGAACTGTTGCACTGCACATTTTCCAAGTATTGTTTTTCGTTCAAAACGCAGCTATTACTTCAGTCAAAGTAATAGTTTCGAAACAGCATATTTCTTACAAGTTCCGTTGTGGACTATAACTGGTACGAGTCAGACAAGAATGTGCCTACTGTGGTTCTTAGTTTCCTTCTGCAACATTTTACAAGGGTATTTAAGTCAAATTATTGACGAAAAACGTAATGGTAAGAAAACGCATTAGCGTTTTAGGATCAGAAGTAGATAAAGAAAATTCAATTTTGCGAATAATTCCTTCGAACTGAGCTGTTAAAATGGAACAATTGAACAAAATTGAATAAAATTGAATACAAATTTCTGTAAAGATATCGTTTCAAAATGAATTTATCACATTCTGAAAATTCTCTGCATATACTATACTTCAAAAACAAAATGTCTGAATAATATAAATATGATTTAGTACTTCCTCTATAGGGGATGAGTTTAAAAACAAAAATAAACTGGAGAAAGATGCGAGATATAGAATGTATATATTGAGGAAAAACTAAAGTTTTGTAAAATTCAATCACAAAATTGGAGATTTAGTGATAGGATTCAAGGGTAGATACTTTATTTTATTCATGAAGAGTATAAACAAGATTTACTTAAACATTATTTACGACGCAATTATTACTCGATTTTCGAAGTGTTCACAGTAAGTTAATACTCTTGAAGAAACTCTTGAAGGAACGTATCCTATAAATCCCAGTTTGTCTAATCTCCCTCAGGGGTCTAGTAAAACTGATTCGAAATTAAAATGAGAGGATGAATTCGATTAAAACGGTAATTGATAGTAATATAGGAAGAAAAACTAACGAAGTGAGTACAATGAAATTAAAAACTAAAAGGGTGTGAATATAAAGTGAAGTAGAGAAAGAGAAATGGACATATGTGGAAGGAAAAACTAATGATGAAAGGGACCAGAAGACGCATATATGAGAGCAAAAGAAAGAGACGAAAAAGACTTGAGAGTTTGAAAACAAGAAGTAGCGAGAGGAGATGATAATTCGTATTCTGCATAATATGAGGCGCCTGTCGAAGACTCGGTCGTTCTCGCCACACGACTCGAGCGTGTGTCCTCTGCGGGGGGCGCGCTTCCCCCATGGCGACAGCCCGCGGGCCCAATTAGGCCTGCGTTCCAGCGCCCGCGGCGGCGGAAGCGGGCGCCGCGCAGGCGGGCGGGCACTGCCACGGCCGTCTCGGCGTCTTCGTCGTCTTCGTCGTCTTCGTCGTCTTCGTCGTCTTCGTCGTCTTCGTCGTCTTCGTCGTCTTCGTCGTCGCCGCCGTCGTCGCAAGCCGGAAGCGGCACCGCGGCCGCCACCACGCGCTTTGAGCGGGTGGGGAAGCAAGGGAAGTGTCTTCGCCGCAGAAAAGAATTGTTCCTTGTTACTGATGGAAATGTTCTCAGACATTTTGAACAGTTGTGTAAAGAATTATGTATGCTATACATCAATGCATTGTATGTTATGTACGTGTGTACGTATATATGTATGTATGTATATATGTTCTTGGCGCGACAGCCCGTGAACGGACTCACGCCTTCCGGCGACGTCCCTACCTCGCGGCCATGGACTAAGGGGGTACGTGTGGTTGGCATGTAGACATTCCCATGCGTCTTTTCAAACTGAGGAGTGAATTTTCTCTTCGTCACACAGCAACATATACTGGGACATTGCAAGGAAAACGCCCACTATGCATAATCTTGCCTCACTTGGAATCGCACCCGTAGTGGAAAGCGAGCACCCCGACGAACAGCTAGCCACGAGGCCAAATAATTATATGCACATGGTAATTATGTCTCGTTTAAAACAGCTTCGTTTGGTCGAGCCTTTGCGATTCCTCTATTTGCTGAAATAAGTTTAATGTCTTCAACATGAAACATCTCTCTTCATACGTATTTTATTTTCACCTTCTGGTGTTTTATTTAATATTTCTTTTTTTGTATAGTCGTATCGTTAGTAGTTATAAAATGGCAATATATAAATAATTATTGATTAATAATGATTCAGAGAGTTAACGTAGCAGTTAAGAGAAACAGATATTTCAATGCATTAATCTTAATTTTGCTAAGTTAAGGTCGATACGTTCAAATTTCTTTAGGTAGCACGTCAAAGTACTGTAGTATCGCGATCTATTGCGTATATTATCGATAACCATTATGTTTACATTGATTTAACGGCGTGGGAACAGAACTACTTAAATTTAATGGCGAAGAAATGTTCTGGAAAATCATGTTATTCTTTCAAGGAACACGAGACTAAGACTCCTCAGCACAAGCCTAATCCTCTAAGAGACTGCACATTCAAGCCGTTTAATTACTTACTTTTCGACTGAAAGAAAACCCATTAAACTCTGTTCTACGAAACAGTAAATAATACTTCCATAAAATGTCAGCAAGCAGTACAAAATCGACAACTTTGATCAGAGTTATGACAACCTCTTGTGACGTGTATGGAGAACGGCTGTTTCGCGCCGTCTTCTCGCAGCCGTTTTAGGAAGCCATAGCGCGAGTAAATCAAGGTGCGGAGGCGGCGGCGGCGCCGAGTGGATCGTGCGCGGCGGAAGCGTGCGTTGCAGTGCGGATTGGCGCACGTGACGCGGGGCGGGCGGCAGGTGGCGGTGAGTAGCGGATTGCGCTTCTGGGCTTCCGGGACAACGGGGACGACGATAGCGCAGTGGGTCACCGGCGATGAACTCCGACCCGCACCGCCCGCACTACCCGCACATCCCCCCCGCCCTCTTTGTCCTACCGCAGCCGTAGCCGAGTCCGAGTCCGCGTGACGCCTCCATTCGCAGGCCGGTTCCGAATTCGCGTGTCTTCCTTTTGACCGGAACGGCCGGTTCCAGTGGGCCCGGTGGACCGCCTGCCCTACCACTTGCGTAATATAAAAGGAAAGCTATGTTCTTTAAGTTCTTAAGAAGTGGAAAGGTACGTTTTCATTCGGTTTTTATGCCAAACACAAGTGGCCTCCAAATAACAGTCTAATAGCAAGTCTTAGCAAGAATGTAAGATGGAATGATTTTCTTCTGGCAAGAAATGTAATACTAGTGTGTAAATGGGTTCAATACAGGAGAAAAAGAGATTGTGATGAATGTTTAATTTTTATGATCCAGAAAGTTATCACTTATATTCAAAGGATTCTAAGCCTTTCCGTAGTAATGTAAACAATTATTCAGTGTGTATAAAACAATCTGAGCTTTGACTTGGTATACATTTGACACAGTACCTTTTGTTACGTCATAAGTACTTATGACTATTATCGCCATTAATACCATATAACTTGAGTGATCTAACGATTAAATTTATTTACATTTAATTAAATCTCGCAAATAGCGCTGAAGCCGGTCAACATGAAAAATAGAAAGTATTTAACAGAAATGAAACTATCACAGACACGTGTTATAATGAATTATGTTTGCGAGTGAGCGAACTGGAACATAGAATTTGTAGAAAAATATAAATGTGTACAATTATTGTACACAATTTGCTAATTATTTACACAATTCCATTCAGACAGCACAAACGTTATGCTCAGATATCAAATGTTACGTAATAGTGCACTCACAATATGTTCCGGTATAGTTTTGCATCTCCATGAGGGCGTGATGCAACAATGGATCCCAGTGATTTTTTATCTTTGTTTAGACAAGGAGTTACATTTTCATCATTTATGACTGAAATTATTAGATATTTTTTTTAACTCTCAGTGACAGTTTGTTTTTTCAACGCTTTTCCGATGTTAAGAAAAAATCAAAACAGGCGCCATGAGCTTCGTGGTATCTATGGCGTTCTATAACAACCATTCCTGTCCATAAACATGTTAGTCGAGTATATAAGTTTTGTAAGCGGAGGAACATTTTAAATGTTTTACTAGTTCTACAGAAAATGACATTGTCATCTGTATCCCTGCAGAAAGGTCCATAGGTACAGAAAGTGTACACGGCATTCTATACGTAACTAAAAAGCGTAAAAATTTTAACACAAACTGACAGAAAATAATTATTATTGTTGATAATTACTTGTATTATTGGTTTACAAATATATAAAATTTCCCTTCAGTTATATTGCAATTTATTCTGCGGTCTTCCGTAGAACCCCACTGCTTTTATCCGTATGGCCACGATGACATTAGTATGCGACTGCTCCGTGAAGCTATTGCATGTAGACCGGCAATGAGAGAAGCCATTTTTGTGGCCAAACGAGGAAGATATGACTCATGCTAGAAGCGAATTCTCACATTGTGGTAATGATAGGGGGAAATTTCATCTAAAACGGAGATAAACGTTTCGCTAAAGAGCTAGAAATCAACGAGCCAGTTCGTTATGCGTGGTGTTCAAGAAAGTAAATGGTAAGACTTTCATTCCTCACTCACCTTACTTACCTTCACATCTTCAAAAATTGAAAATGAAACGAACACAAGTATTTTTGCATTTAACGCAAACGCTAGACCAATGCACGTTAATGTATGACAATGGATGACAGAAGAATATTGACAACAAAATTCTTATAAACTAATTAAACATAGCAAGTTAGCTTATCGACAAGATGAGATGGAAGAAATTAAGACGTGGGATGAAGAAGGAACTGGTAGAAGGAACACAGACGGGAAGAAGAAGGAAAAGGGGCGGGAAGAAGATGGAGAAAAGTTATAAAATCGTCCAAAACAGAACTATTTCTTGTGTAATCAACAATTATCAGAAAGAAGACCGGTTTTTTTTTAATTTTTATATATTAAAATACAATAAACAAGAAAAATACTATTCGTGTTTGGTCGCTCGCTCCACATTGATTTATAGGCAAATGTTGTTTAGTTAGTTAGAATTGTTCTTGAGGGAACTGCAATCACAATTATTCTCGAAAAAATGCACTTTAATTAATTAGATTGATTTTTTGAGGAGGGCTAAATAAAATTTTCATTTAAACTTTTTTAAGTACAAATCTAGTACAAATAACTATACTACAATAAGAATAATGATCCTTTTACGTAGTATTTTCTCATGTCTGTGCCTAGTATTTAAAACGTTAAATGTCTATCTGTTCCGGAAAAGCATTGAATTTCTACAAACTCAACTCTCACATTTTTCTAGACAAAATTGAACCCGTCGGACAACCGTGAAAACCACAGCGGAGAATCCCATCAAAATCCCCGGAGCATAAAATTCCATCGATTATCACAAGGCGCGCCAGACCGGCTGGCCAACTCAATTCGCCCGCCTCGCGCACCTGTCCGCTGACGTCATCGCGCCGCGACGGCGGAGTGCGGCGTCTTCCCCGCCAAGTGCCTGCCCGCTGCCGCCGCCGCCTGGCAGCCGGCCGCCGCGGCCGCCACCGGTCCCTGCCCGCGCCCCTCCCCACCACACCCCTCCACTCCGCACCCCTCCCTTCCCCTACGCCCCACGCCCCTCTGGGCTCGCCGCGTACCCGCGCGTCGGAGTCTCTGGCGGGGGAGAGCAGTCGGCGGCCGGCTGTGGTGCGGAATAGTGCGCCGCCGTCTCCAGTAGGGGATCGACAGCTGCGCTCCGCAGTACTAGTAGTTGTAGTAGTTGCTTAGTTTGGTGAACTGGTGATTGTGCGTGTGTGGTTGCAGAACTGTGTTTGTGGAGAGAGAACTGTTTCGGTCACGTGTTCATGTGTTTTCGGAAGACGGATTGTGCATTTTAGTTTAGAAGGTGAGTTTTTTTAAACGAATTTTTGAATGTGTTGGATTAAGGACTACTAATACTCAACGTATGGAGTGTGGTGGTTATGTTACGAAAATACTGAAGGAATGTTGTTCATCGACATGTTTACTACAAACGTGGAATGTTCTTCTTTCATTATTTTCTTTCATAAGCGTCGATTCAGAAAGTTAAATAATCTGGCAATTTGTAAATAATCAATTCGCTGAATGAAGTACATTAATAACACAGTGACATCGAGAAATTATGTTCATCTGCAATAAGTTACCTTTAATTTAATGTGATTTCTATTTCAATTTGATATATATTGTTGAAAATTTTGTGAAATTCTTCTACAAGTTAAATTGAAGACCAATTTATTTAAATGTTACTTTTTATTTTACAAAACAATAAAAACATATTTGTCAATATATTGAAATTAACGGAAACACGTTTATGATTACAAAATCAAAAATATTAGTATTCTTGCATACTCAATAGTAGTGGCATCGTAAGTATTTTTATGCCTGCCCTTGATGCGATGTAGGATCAGCTACTGCCGAAATGTGCTGTGTCTTCATATAATTCCGTTTTTACCGAAAATTTCAGCTGCACGTTTACATAACTGTACCGCGATGGTGACGGTGCTGCCGATGGAACACAATGCTCGTCTGGAAGCGCCTGAGAACGCGACGTGCTGAACTATGGGGAGCGTTTTAATTAGATTGTGCAACGTCGTAAAGCTCCCGGGAGAGGGCGCCGGGTCTTGTATCGAGAGTTGTGCAAGAGCAATAACTTCGCCCGCCCTCTCCGGAGAAGAACCAAGAAGGACCGCGCGATGGGAACCTCCTGCACCGTGCGGGCCCAAGTCTCCCGGTGCTTCTACCGCAATCTCCGCCTCTGCCGCCGCCGTTTACACGGCCGCCCGGCGTCTTCTGTTGCTGCCGTTACGTAAATCCCTGCCCGTCTCCGCTCCGCACGCGGCAGCGCGTCCACTTGTGACAGCGGCGGCGAGGACGGTGGCGAGGGCGGCGGTAAGGGTGGTGGCGAGGACGAGGGAGGCGGTGAGGGCGGCGGTAAGGGCGGTGGCTAGGAAGAGGGTGGCAGCGAGGGCGGTGTTAAGGGCGGTGGCGATGCCGAGAACGAGGAAGGCGGCGGCAAAGGCGGTGGCGGTGGCGAGGACGAGGGTGGCAG